TCGAAGACGAGTATGGGAGGCGAAGGGCGTTCAGCCCGTTACAATACCCCCCTCCTTAAGAGATAGCCCCTCCCTTTTTCGATCTGAAGAGGGCATCCATTGCGGGGCTACGAGCGGTGGTCTTAGTTCTTGGCTGGGCTGGGCTGGCTGGTCTAGCTAGTCTGGCTGAGCTGGCTGGTCTGGTCGGGCTGGCTGGTCTGGCTGAACGAGATTCGGGGCAGGATTCTATCCAGTGGGTAGCTGATCCGCAGCAGAGACAGAGGTCGTTGAGTAGGCGATACTCTCTGCGATCAGCTGAGGAGCTGGACGAGGTAGAGGAGGAGCGGGATCTCGATGGGGTAAAGACAGGTCTAAAGGAGTTGACTCGGATGGGATCGATATCCATCCGTTGGCTGAACCGGTTTCGGTTGGACTGACTGGACTGGCTGGACTGGGCGGGCTGGCTGGACTGGCTGGACTGGCTGGACTGGCTGGGCTGGCTGGACTGGCTGGACTGGCTGGACTGGCTGGGCTGAAAACGCTTCGAACGCCTCTCGGCGCTTTGCATTGTCTCCACGTACTGATCGTAAGTAAGGCTGAAGAGGGAGTCGTTTGACTCCTCAAGCTTCTGCCTGAGTGACTGTCGGAGACCGCGGTGTAGCGTTGTAACGCGGGAGATATCTGGCCAAGAGGAAGCCTTTGCTTCAAACGATAGCCGTTCAAATCGCGCAAGGTAGGCGATTAACGATTCATCGTCTCTCTGGCGGATCTGGGAGAAACGTTGGATTGCCTCTTGTTGCTCACGTGGGTTGTGGCAGAGGCGCTGGAAAAATAAAAAAATTTGTTCTGGGTCCCAGTCTGAAAGCTCTTCAGACTGTTCGCGGAGGTGGAGGATAGACGCCTGTTGAGGCTGCTCAAGGCGATCCCACACGTAGTCGAAGGCATCGGCTCCCGTAAGCTGATCAGAACGGAGTTTCGCTCTGATAGAGGGTAGCCAGGTGCGCAACGTATGCGGCTTACCGTCGAATTTTGGTGGGTCTGGCAGGCGTGCTCGGACTCGTGTCTGAGCGTCGTTCGAGTGCGGGCGGGACTGGAGCTGGAGCTGGAGTTGCGTGACGCTATCACGTAGGGAGGTGATTTCAGATCGCTGGTTCTGGAGCTCTTGCTGGAGCTGCTGAACAAGCAGTAGAAGAGCGTTCTGGTTCTGGCTGGTGGTAGACATAATTATAGTAAAAAAAAAAGGGCAAGGATTTAGGTGAGGGCTGGACGCTTGTCTGAACTCCTCTTAGAGAGGTAAGCTCTCTGCTACGTGTCTACTATCTATATACAACTAGTTGCCTAAGCAACTAT